ATGGATAACTTTTTAACAACATACATGCTCTTTAGCCTCCTTTCTATGACAGAAAATCCAACTGTTTGCGGGTGGTATCATCCTAAATAATGTGTAATATTAAGATATATAATTACACGACTGCTTTTTTGCAACATATAGACACTTTAACTGACCCTTGACCAGATGTTCTTAACACCTGGTGTTTCTTTGTTCCTTTGACAGAGACAATGTGGTCATTTTATATATTCCAGCTGCATTAAAGGCATATTTTATAAAACTGTGAATTCACATGAAAGGCATGATGTCGTCTACACATAAGTGATAATAAACCAGATCTCAGAGCAACAATACTCTGTAGAAATATTCCATTCAAAGTGTTCATTTCACTTTTACATTGTTTTCTACTTATATGAACACACACAAATATTTGAATGATTCATACTTACAGTCCCAGGTGAACTGCATGACACTGATAACACTGTGTTGTGTCATTGTGTGGACTTTAATTTGTTAGTTGTCACTCATTTAAACATTGCACACTGCAGACACACATGCCTCGTGGTAATGGCACTTCCCAACGACATTAGCCTCCCTCAGTGGGTCAACTGTTCATGAAATCCAATCTGATCAACATCTGCAGCCCCACCCAAAGGCTCTGATGTTCTAGAGACAAATGCTACAGGACACTCCAGAGGTCCTGGGGAGGGTTACACACTATTAGGTAGGTGAGTTTAATGTTGTGTCCTTTTTAAACAGTTAGTTCAGAGCACTGATATGTATCAGAGTGAAAGACTGAAATATATCTGATTTTCTACTTTCCTTTAATCTTTGATTCTTTTTTCAGCTGTTGAACAATTCAGAGATTATCAAAGTGAAACCGTGTGACACGTTTAGAGCAGAAATGCCTCTGAAAGAGCTACGAACAACCCAACGACATCCAAAATATGACAAAGAGCTACAATCGTACATCGTAATTTCATATGCACACTGCCACCAACCAAGAGCCACTCTTTAATGCTGCATTGGATTTTTATAAATAGAATTCTTGGACTTTCAGACTCTTCTGATTAAAGTTTTCCTTCAACAAGAAAGGCAAGTGTTTAAAAACAATGTTGCTTGAAATAGAGAGACAAAACCCTCCAGGAAAAGGAGAAAGTCAGTAGGCACCCAGAGTAAGTTAGGGAGGAGGGTGGGATGGATGAGCCCATCAAACATCAGACTGAGGAGACAGGAGTTTCCCACTGACAATAAACATACTTTTCTCTGACACTAATCAGGTAGTAGTTTCTCAACTTTAAGAAGCTGATGCGTCACCATTATCAGTACAAGGACTGTGGATAAGAGAAAAAAAGAAACAAGGGACAAAGAACACAGTCTTTTTTTGACAACCACTAAAGTCACAGCTGTTCCCGATGATCCAAATTACTTCACATTCTCTCTGGGGATCAACAGACACAATGTGATATACATTTAAAACTCAAAACTTTTTGCTCAATTAAGCTTTAAAAAAATCCTCCTTATGATCCTCCGTGATCCTAGGATCAGTTTGAGGTCAAGAGGGCTGGAGATGGTTTCATGATGTTCACATTACCAGGATGCTCAAGGAAAAGAAATCTCACTGTGCCCCTCACTGCTTAACTGACACAAGATCTTAATGTGTTACACAGAAAAACGAGCACATCGGTATACCTGAAGAAAATTTGTGATCACAGAGTCCTCTAACATCTGGGCAGCTGCCACCAATGTTCAACTGACACTCTCCACGTGCAGTAATGTACTAAGTGACATTAAGCTGCCACATCTGACGGGAGAGTTCACACCGGAAAGTAATTACTCTTCTGGGCTGTTTTCTTTCGCCCAGCTGACTGACATCCCATTAACAGCTGTAGGCGTGTGCGCTTTGGAGTTGCTGCTGCGGGTCAGCTTTTGTTGTTCTGATTGGTTCTCATCTCCACTGTCCTCGTTGGCAGCACGCAAATGAGGATTAATAGTGTTTCATTTGAGAGGTGAGCTTGTGAAGTATACTCCTCTCTCAAAATGTGAAGAGATGCTGTAAAGAAAAGCAAGGAGAAATCTGCACTTCCATTTCGATTCCTGCCGAGGAGATCAGAGGAGGAGAAAATGTGGGAAGCCAGTGTTTACCCTTGGATGAAGCCAGGTAGACGAGTCATAGGTAGACAGGAATCCTTGTTAATCTTTAAAAGGTGAAAGATTATAAAAGATCTATTGAGGAAAGTTACAAAGGCTAACCACAAAACCAGAGCTTAAAAAAGAAAACACACCCGCACACAAAGTGGCTGAGCATTCCTGATTTAGACGAGACGTCTGTCTTATAGCTCTTGGGCATCTTTCTGAGACAAATTACTTTGAGTAGTCAATAGCCTGTAATTAAAATATACCCACTTGATGGAGACGCAACAGTGTCTCTCTATTTAGTTATGGGTTGGAAAGATTAATTCTGGGGTGTATAACCCTTGTAATTTTGCAAGTGCTGTTTATTGTTTTCAGAGAAATTTTTTTTAGTGCAGACGATTGAAATGTCTCAGCTCAAGGTCTGCTTTGATTTGCTTGCGCTTCACACACACTTGGTCCTCTCTTTGTGCTTTATATGTGCCCTACTCCTGCTTCAGCAACATAGATGCACATTAACAATTTGTATTAATGTTTTGGAACACATCCACAGCTCTCGCACATCGCTGCTGCACTAATGTTCTTTGTGTTTGAATCCAGAGGTCAGGGTTTGCTGTTTTTTACTCTCAGAAATACTGGTAAAAGCTGCTGGATGCCAGCATATTAAACCCAAAGAATGAAAAGAGTCTTATAAAGAGGGGCCCTCATTTGCTGACCTCCTCTCCTCTTACTCTACCCTGTTTAACATGAAACTCACTGGTCCCCCTTGTGGTTAAAGTAACAACTGCAGCACATGTGGGCTCAGGGAGGCAGCAGCATGAATTGTTGAATAAAACAGAGGCTGCATTGAAATCACCAGCTGTTGTCCGTAATGATGAAAACATCCCCAACTTAGCATGAATTTATAATTATGCAAAAAGCAAATTTGAATCTCTTTACTGGAACTTTTCAATTCCCATTCAATCTCCCGGGAGAGAGCTGTTGTGAATCATATGCAGAGATTGTGTGTATCTGTGAGAGAGTGTGTGTGTGATTTTTTTCCTCCCTGTTTTTTTTTTTTAAATGCAGATCTCAGATACTTCATAATGAAACTTTTGTGGAGTCCCAAAACCACAACAAATGAACTTTTCTGAGAAGTATTTTCATATATGAGCTTACAATAATGACTCCAGTCCTTTACGTTCAGCGTGGACAACAAGAGAAACATTCTGATTTTTTTAAGACTAACTCTGTCTTCATCTCACCTTCTGTTGCTCAGTTTCTTTTAGCTCCTTTCCCTCCTCTCACTAATTCTATTTTCACGGGGGTTTGTAAATTAAGTGTAAATGTAAATGGATCAGTGTGTTATTATGCTAAATCCAGCCAAAGAAACACGTTCGTATTGTAAGTAAACAGCTGCATTACCTGTGGGCTCCTGCACACCTGCTAGTGCATAGCAGTTAGCCTGTGCAGATGCAAACTGTCAATCATTTCACACACGCAGGCAAACAAACAAAGGCGTGCATGTGACAAATGTGTATAAATGTGCAAGGTGCAAGAAAGTTCAAACACATGACACAAATTTAAAAAAAAATTCTTGCAAACCACAATCTGTGATGCACACACACACACAGTATAAAACACACTCACATTATAGTGTCACATCCACATGATCAGCAGCAGCTCATGCACATACACGATGAGCACAAATAAAGTCAAATATAATAAATTATTTTTGCATTAAACTCTTTCATCTTTTCTCTGATGCTGAAGGATATTGTTGGGGACGTTCAAGCACAACATGTAGAGGTATAAAAATAATTTCCTTTACTAAGTGTAATATGTACTTCATTAAGACTATTAAATTGAATTTACCATATGTACAGATGTTTCCCATCTATTTTCAGACTTCAGCAGAAAAAGCGACCTATATCTCTCTATATTGTATTTTTTTTCACGTAAATACAGCACTCAGTATATGAAAATCAATTAAAATATCACAAATATATTTAGACGCTATCAGGGCGGAAAATAAAAGGTTTTTTCTCTCTTCTTCTTTCTCTGTCAGCATCCTCAGTGTCTCGGCTAATTCAGCTTCTTACTGTGTTCTTAAAAAATATCCAAGACAACAAATAAAATGAAATGATCCTCTCTCTATGCTGGTTTTACAAATTTGCAGTCATTTAGTATATTTTTATTTTTATTTCTTATTTAAACAGGCCTGTATTGACTTCGGTTGGTGGATCTGTGTCTGCGTGATGTCCGCAGTTAAGTTATAAGCGCAAAAAAAGCACACAGCAACAGCTTGCGTTGATAAAATAAAAGTGAGTGTGGTTCAGTAATGATGCATTAAAAATGTTCACTGCCGAATAGTCGGAATAATAATTATTTCCCACTAAAAGCCTTGTTTAAATTGGCGAAATTAATTGGAAAAATAGCTTTCGGCAAACACAGCAGAAGAACAGACTGCAGCATTAACACGCCTTTCAACCAGCATTGTTCAAACTTAATTATTCTTGAAAACTTTTTCCCCCCTTCCTTGTTTCCTATATTTTGGCGGCTTTCAGACAAATCAACCCATCTGCTTTAATAAACAGCTCTTTATGTCGATACGAGCATGTGATGTATACCAGACTGTACCGGGCAGTACGGTTTCATGCTCGGCTCAGGTGTGCGGGGAGGGAAAGCTGGCAGGTTGCCCTCCGCTATTAAAACAACAGGCTTTGAGTCGCTTCGGAGCAAAACGCACGCCGCTGCGCGCACTTTTACTATTTACCAGACTTTTTTTTCCTCCCTTCTTCTTCTTCTTGACATGCAAACATGTGGCGTGTAAATATGAAAATGAATGAGTGTGAGAGCTCTCCTGGCAGTGACTTCTCTCTCTCTCTCTCTCTCGCTCTCTCTCTCGCTCGCTCTCTGTCCCCGGAGAGCGGCGCGTCGGAGAGGAGCGGCTGTAAAAACCAAAGTGGGGCAATGAGACAAGCTGCGCCACAGCTGGCAAATCATCGATTTGAGCATCAGAAACGGGGAGGGGCGGTTCATTTACCTGCCACCCTCTCAAAGCAGCCCTCCTCACATGCCGCTACTCTACTCTCCTCTTCTTCACCCCCGCTGCCCGCAGCGCACGGTTGCTCGCGTTTCTGCGCTCCATCAGCCGTGTGCGCTCCCCAACTTCACTCCAACCTCCGCCAGTGCGGTTTCTACTTGACGACCCCCTCCTCCTCCTCCTCATCCGTAGGACTTTTGACTTTTTTTTCTTTCTTTTTTTTAAAAAAAAAGCAGTTCTTCCTCCCACAGAGCAGTCGCCTATTTTTGGATCTCTCGCCGTGGAGCAGTGACAAGAGATTGTTCAACTTTTGATGGAAAACAAGAGGTCGGGCGACTGCTGACTTTAAAGGTACGGTCTCTTACTCTAAACTGTTTCTGCTCAAGTGATCGCTGTTCGCTGTCATTCTGTCACATGCCTCTTTATTAGAGCATCTGCACGGGTTTGAAATCACATTTTTATTGCGTGTCACATTAAAAAAGGGGGTCTCCTTGGAATTAGAAGAGTGAGATACTCTAAATGAATTAAAAGCAATTTTGCAGACCTTCATCTTCCAAATCACTTAAAACCCGCAGACCTAAAGTGGCTGTAAGAATTTAATATTTCAGAGAGATTTTTAAAATAAAATAAATAAAATTAAAATCGAGATTGTGAGCGGAGACGCCGAACCTAAACGCACGCATTCAGAACTTTCTAAATTTAAACGGGCCCGTGTCGTTTCTGCACAAATAAGCAAAGCACTCGTGATATTCGCGGGGTTAAGTGCACCCATCTCCTCTAATTCATTTAACAACTTACTCTGCGTCGCAGCAGAGGAGGAGGAGAAGTGATGCAGCCATCGCCACCGCTGCTCCTGGCCTGACCGTGTCACAGAAAGTTGCTTAGTTTTCCGTCGAGTCGTGAATCTTGTAGAAAATACTAGACTTCAAAATCAGGCCTTCCTCTCTTACTTATAATGAAGTGCGTGCTATCAAACAGCTGACACGTCTATTAGAAATGAATCTACTGCAGCCCAACTGCCCATCTACTTTTACTACTTTTTATTAGGCCATTAGAGCCACTTCATTTATTTCCTCCACATACTTACCATTTAATTACGTGTCAACTTGCTTCAACATTTTAACTGCTGTGACATGAAACATTTTGTGTAACTCTTAAAAAAAACACTGACTGAGCCCAACAAGGTATAAAAAAAGGTGTGAGAGACTCAGAAGGAAACAAACATTAAATGACTTTATTGCTTTCTTTCTGCTCGACTTGGCGTGAGGCAGTCAGGAGGATGTGATGACAGAGTCAGCGTGGTAATGCTGTTTTGGTCTGCCTTATGGCTTTTGTCACAGTGCTGATAAAGTAATTTCAGGTACAACCAGACCTGTGTGTGTGTTTATGTGTGTGTTAGATAAAGAGATAGAGAATAGGGAGCAGTTATGAGAAGATGTATTAGTGTGCTCAAAATGCGTGGGCACCAATCTTCTGTGGTTTACAGGTTTTTAAAGGTTTCACTCTCTGTCTGTTCCTTTTGAAAAATAGCTGACATTTCACACAGCAGCAAGGCCAGTGGCTTTCACTCAGATATTCGAGATTATTTATATATAGATATCAGCATAAATACACACATGTAAGACAGAGTAGAGTTTGCGTTTAAGGCACAAGCAAGATGTGGCACAGGGGTGATCATTTGTGACAATTGTGCAGAGAAATTAATTTTATACAAAATAATAATAATCTAGCGGCGTTTTGCATTTCAGAGACCTGATCTGATAGCTTTCTGAAAAATAATAATTACTTCACGGTGTCACCGGTTGTTTACCATGTTGCTGCTGTAGTCAGGTCATGTGCGTTGCTCACGCACGTGCAAATTACAAGGTCAAGAGTGGCACTACTGCATGGGAAAAAGCAGGTTATGGCACAACACCGGTGATTTTTCTCCCTTTTATCTTTGCAGATCTGTGGCAGTTCAAGGTTCTGTGGCTTATCTGGTCAGTGCCTTAGACAGCAATGACAAACAGCCTTTTTCCTGTCTCGGGCTGCCATGTGTCACTTCTTGTAAAAGTCCTCAGACAACCAGAAGAAAGCCTCAACGGCAGTTTGTGAGCGTTGAAGCAAAACTTCTCGGTATTACTCCTCGCCTTCATTACAACCACTCCTTATCAGCTTGCGGTTGTGAAAGTGGCACAAAAAATGTTTGTGTACATACGATACCAAGTCAATATGTTTGGCAAAATTTCTCCACTCGTTCTAGTTTAGCAGGAATGATAAGAATCAGAGTGTGAAGATGTCAGCGTTGCTTCATACTGCTGGGTCACACAGATCCAGCAGTAAAGCTTAAACATCTGTTACAGCTTATTAGTGCCTAATGAAATCCTCTGAATGTGTTCCCAGTTCTTACAATAACCCTACCGTGATTTACAATAAACCTACGATCTGAGAAGACATTTAAATATACTCACCCTTCTTCTTTTAAGTTACAGGTTTAACCTTGTTATACTCAGATTTTTCCCCTCAGAGCTTAGTTTTGTTTTCATTACGACTAATCGAAACTAGTGCACGCGGCATTTACTGTACTGTAGTAGTGTTGTAATAGCAGGAAATCAGCGTGTAGTGCACAAACACTCAGGGCTTTCTCACCGTCTTTTGCTTTTAAATCCCAGTGACGCTTCTGCATCACATCTCTTTTAATCATCACTTTCAGGTCGTCAGGTCAAAGGGTTTCTTAGGACTGGCAGGATGACAAATTAAATCTTATCTCTCAGGTGGAGGTGGTGTTAGTTAAGTGTAGATCAGCGTCTGCACGTTGCCGTGCTCTCGCTCAGTGTCAGGTTCACAGACTCTGAAGGGCAGGTTGTCAGGAGTGAGCGGAAGCAGAAAGTTTGTCCGGTGACCCCGAGACACCAATTAGCGTGGACATCGGAGAGCACAGGTTGTGATTTTTGTTGTTGTTTTTCCTGTGCAGTCTGCACTCAAATTATATTAGGAATGCTTCATCACTTTGCTTTAAAATTGAATTATGCTCTCAATCATCATTGCTTTCAGTAAAATTAGAAAAAAAAGTTCAGGGAAAGTAGCTGTCCCTAAACACACAACAGACACTCCTATACGTCTCCATAAGCTTTGCTGTGTCGGCTGTGTGTCGTGGTTGTTGTTTGAATTCCTCCAGCAAAAGATGCTGTTTATTAACTCCCCCACCACCACCACCACCACCACCTCACTCGCTGAGTATTTGCTGGGAGTTTAGAGCTGGGCTGTTCCTCACTTTGCTGAGGCTGATATCTCAGGCTAAAACCATTAATCGTCTTTCTTTACCACCTCGATAATTATCGCTGTAGCAAAATAACAGCTCAGCAAACAGTGAAATTATACCTGTGGTAGGGAGCAGAGTAAATACCTGTTTAGCTGCCAGCAAATGTATTTATTAGACTGTCGCCAGTAAATAAGAGGCCTGTCTCGTTTTTTAATGTGTGGCTCTTTGGGGATTCCATCCCTCCACACTCCCCGCCATGCCTCCTCTGTATGAAATAGCTCTGTTATGATTGCTAATAGAGGAGAAAGATAACAATGATTCCCTCTTTTTTTCCCCGTTTTTTCTTTTTGGTGGCGTGTTACAACTAGTGTGGAATAAGAAAACGCTGGTGAGTTAATAATGACTGCTGCATTCCAGGGCTCAAAAATGTAAGAAAGCCCCCCCCTGTCAGTTACAGACATACCACCCTGGGTGCATGCTTTTAGTGTGTGTGATTCAGGAGTTACAGCTCATTTTGTCATTATCTGGAAAGTTCCCTATAAGAAAGAAACAGGGGTGGGTTATGTTGTCCCGGCATGTTCAACTGCATTTATTTTGGCATATGCTTTGCATACTGTTGATCCAGATTCCTTGGCTTAGTGATAAAAGCATCATATTGTTTTTGGGTCCCCACAGTCAGCCCCGTTCGCTGAATGGCTTGGCGTGTCCTCCCTGGGACATAAAAAAATATCCGAAGTCCGTCACATTGGTTTTGTCACGCTTTTATGAAATGACATCCCTCTTATGTTAGATTTTTTTTTGGAGTTTGGAGTTGGGGGGGGGGGGTGTGTTCTTGTTCTTTATTGTGCTTCATACTCCTGTATCAAATATAAATTACAGACGCAAACACATTCAAGTTTTCATGATTCAAATCATATTATTACCGGTCTAATCGTATGTTTTTTTTCTCAAGAGGGAAAAAAACCCTCATTGTCTTTCATTCGATGCTTGTCTTCATCCGATCTGTGTAGGTTTTTCTGAATCCTTTGTTCAGAGGGAGGAAAAAAAACAGCGATTTAGAGGAAAGCGCATCCCGCTAAGATCAGGTTGTTAATACCCACCCACATACCCCAATGAAACAATTTCAACAGATACTGTACTCTCTGTCTTACACACACACACACACACACACACACACACACACACACACACACACACACACACGCACACATTTGCCTTATCAACTGTTTTGTTCGTCAGTGGATGGATGATGCATCCTTTGACAAGGGATTAAATATGCAAAGAAAAATATGTAGATAAAGAAACACATCTTTAAGTCTGTGCTTCTTATTCAATACTTCTGCCTAAGCCTGAATATTAAGCGCGGTTTCCTTACACGCTTGCGTGCCATCTTTTTTCCCTTCAACTCACTGCAGCCTCACTTCTTGCACACTGAGGCGAGTAACACCATCCCGTCACCTGCCCTCATTTCCTTAACACTCCCCACAAGGCCAGGGGAACTGTGCCCTTCACCGCCTCTCACCCACTTCAGGAAAAACCCAGCGGGCCATGACAACCTTTCTCGCCCCTTCAGTGTGCCCTCTCTCACAAAGCCGTCTTCAGTATTTCTTTCTGCCTCTCACACACTAACACCCGTGTCTCTCTAACTCTATTAATTGTTTATTTTTTGCCATCCACGAGGCAGAAATTAGAGTTTAATTATTTGATCATGTGACGACCGGCGTCCAGCACGCAGTGACAGAAAAGTAATTTCTCCAAACAGGGCCCTGCCTCTGATGCCTGTTGATTGTTCTATGACTAATTGGTTTTATAATTCGATAAAGGCGCAGAGGCGCAAGAGAGGGAGGGGGGTGATAAACAAGGCGGTGAAGGGTCCTCTGGGTGCGCCTGGGTGGGGATGTTGGCTTTGAATCGTTAGCGCAGATTCCCGTGAGGAGGCCTGACATGGGCTTGAACCGACACGGCGCTGCTCGGCGGTCATTACAGCCAATATTATCCTGATGGCGGGGGTCACGGGTTCGGGCAAAAGGCACGAACTTCCAGGGCAGAGGGGCCTCGTTACAAACGGCGCGGAAACACGCTCGCCACCGCTGAGCGGATGTACATGTGTCTGTCTGTGTGGCGTGCATCTGTGTGGGAGCTGCACAGTGTACAGTGTACACCACACGCCATCGGGGTGGCTGCTGGGTGTGGAGAGTTTTAACCTGAAAACAAGAGGTGGGAGTGCAGCGGTCGATCTGTCTGTGTATCAGAAATGGGGAGGGAGGAAATCCTCGTGGGGTCTGCTGTCTGCAGCGACGCCGAGACCCTCTGAGGGGAACTGGCGTTAGGCCTTCCTGTCAGCAGGCCTGAGGTGGAGACCACTTGCTCTGCTTCTATTTCTGTCGACTTCATGTGATTATAAAACAATTAAGTACTTAGGAGCCGACTCTCAGTTCATTACATCCCCCTTGTTCTTTCTTTCTCTCTTTTCTGCCTCCTCCCACACCAAAGTGCGGACATATGAGAAATGTAGAAATCACCTTCTCCTGCCGCTAATTGAAAGCCACACTCCTTGTATGAGAAGCTAATTTAAAACACGGAACTAATTCGAGCTGAAGGATATATTCACGGCGGAGTAGTTTGTCTTTTTGTGGTCACCTCGCAGCAACTGTGTAAGTAGCTCTTTACGTCTTGCATGTAAATATTAATAAACCACCTCAAAGCTGAGCTCTGTACAGAGCTGAATGCGAGCTGTCTGTGCGCAACAGGAAAACGCAAGCAGTACCTGTGACAGCGAACACACACACAGACCAAGGGTGAAACCGGTCACTCTTAAAAAAAACATTTCTGAGAAAACAATGAGCACCTCTGAGACAGCATCGAACCAAATGATGACACATTGCGCTTGTATTGTTAAGAAAGTGTAATATTCTGGGTTGGGTTAGTGGCGTCTGTAGCGCCTTTTGAAACTTATTTGCCCACACACTGTCAAAGAAATGTCAGTGGCACTAAACAAGTCAAACGCCTCCCTTTTTCCTGAATTCATTCATGATAGAAAAATCAATTCTGCACCAAGTGCTGTGCTCTTGTTTAGAAAAGAGGTTCGCTTTATTTTTGTGGCTTTTTTTTTTGCTACTCATTTAACTGCTTCTTGGTTTTGCACGGCATCTACTGTACAACACCCTTGTTTTCATTTTTTCTCTGCACATGACATATTTTTGAGGTTCGTCTGCGCACCCACACTGATGCAGGCGTGTTTTGACACGTTTCCTCGACAGATTATTAAATCCTCTTCAGCCTCTAATAATACTATTATGTTTATGTGTGTGTGTTTTTTTTGTTGCGCGAGACACTTGCAGAAAGAGCTCAAAGTCGAACCAGTGACAGCGCTAACCCCCATGCTGCGTCTGTGTGTTTGCTCAGACTGGATCCGCAGACTAATTTGTATTAGTAACCAAATAATCGCATTAATTCCCATTAGAAGCATCACAAGTGGTGAGCATGAAGACATCACAACACCTACGTAGAGTAAGTGATGGCGCTGCCGCTTCGCTTGACACACTAAATAAAGACGCCTCTCGATGCTGAGCCAACAATAATATATTTTCTGATTCATTTTCAGCCTTTTCTCCCCCTTTTGTGTGCCGATTATTAGTGTCCTTTTAAATGAAAGGCACATAATACTTCATTTCTTCAGGGACGTGTGGTTTAAAAAGCAGCGGGCCAGATATGATACCACTGATAAGTGTGTTATGGGAAAAAAACACACGCGGTACCTGTGATAATGCACACACTGAGGGTGAAATATATTTTAATATTATTTAAATATGAGGTGTCTCTTTAGCATCCAGTCTGTCATGTCATTTTTCATGATTTCTTTACAAATGTAGCCATCAGGCACAAAATCCTGCCTGAACAATTACACTTGTGTACATGCATCTCCCCAACACAAAGCCACACAAGGCTTGTAAAAACCCACCTTGAACAGAGCTAAATCTGCATTCAGCACATGATTATAACACCGCACAGCTAGTATTTTTAAAACGGCTTTCTGTGTTTCAAAACCCATTTTTCCCTCTTTTCTGTGTGATACAAAACGGTATATGTTAATTGATAATCAGCAGTGTTGATTCAGTGGTGCATTCAGTGCAAATCTGTGCCCTTCTGGATGTCAGAGGGTTTTCACAGCCACGTCGGTGCCAACCTAGCTGGCAGTGCCGGCACCTGTTGGCGGTGCCAAGGCCTGGCAGGGGTTATCGATGCTCTCTGATGGTGCCCGACAATCACAGTGGAAATGACTGCGGCTGCTTGCGTCATGCCAGATAGAAAAGAGCATTTGCCGACAATGGCTCGCTTTCACCATCGCTCCTGTTTTCCGGATGCTGCTAACGACGGCCAAGGAAGAAAAAAACTGGTTAAAAAAAAGAAAGAGAGAGGAACGGGAGCCGCTGCCGTGAACATCATGTAGAACATGTCAAACGTGGAAAACATGTCAACGTGCAGAACGTTGAGTAGCAATGCTGTGCAAGCCGAGGTGATGCAAAGCAATCTGCTGAAGAGAAGGTGTGGGTGTAGGGGGGCTCCAGCCTGTCAGATTCATGTTAGTACAAATCACAGAGAACCTGAAAAGGAGGCACATGCATGCACACACACACACACACACACACACACACACACACACACACACACACACACACACACACACACACGATATTCATGATTATTATTTCTATTCATGAAAAATAAAGTCAAATGTCCTTTACTTTCATGTATCTATGATGTGGTAAACTTACAAATAATCCATTCGTGACTTTTATGTCTTAAAGGGCTTGGTGGAAGTCTTGTTGCTGAATAATATGAATCTCTGAAGATGTATAAATAGTATTTACTCCACAGTTTGGGTCCTTTAACCACACTGCACACCACAGCTGGGTTTAATGCAAGTGTTGGCAGCTCACTGAAAACCAGAGACTGGTTGAGATAAGAATTGATTGCTGAATCTTTGAGTGACAGCCTCTGCACGTGAATTCAAACATGCTGGGGTCGCATATCAGCATTTTCAACAACTCTTCTACTTCCTGTTAAAAAAACCACATACGACGTGGGACCCTTTTAAAATGCAACCGCCTCCTCAAAACTTACACCTCACACTAACTAGGTGTCAATATTGCAAGACGTTCCATCTCAGGTCCGAAAGGTGAGTTTCACGTTGCATTTTTTTTTTCCGTTAAAAGCCTCTTTGATGGCCTCCTGCTATGAATTCCTAATGCAGTGTTTTTGGACACAAATGTATTTTAAAATGAACAAACTTTTGACCCCACAAAGGTGGGTGGAACAATGATTTAGTTTCACAACCAGGGGGGTGAATGAGAGGTGTAACTGTGATGCATCACTTCTTCCGTGATTGTTTTTTTTGATCGGTTCCAGGTTTGGCTTTATTTTAAAGACCTCCAGGTCTTTCCCTGCCTAAAAGAAGCACTTTATGTAAATTTAGAACCATTTTCTTTGTCGGGCTTCTCCGACTGCCGTCACTGGCTAAGCTAAGATGCTTACAACTGCCGGGATGCATTGTTTATGAAACAGCAGCTTTGTGTGAGACGATTTGCCGTCTTTTTTTTTTTTTTTTTTTTGCGGGGATGAGCTTTATCAACCCTGCAAACACATCGTAAGTCAGCATGTAGCATTATGTAGCACTTCATGCACACCTGACCTCCACGATCGACAACATTCAGGTTCTGTCGATGTGATAGGTACACACACTTCCTGTTTTCTGTTGGTTTCCTGTTTTTGTTCTTGCACAGCCTGGACAGACATGCTTCTTCATTTCTCTTTGATGTACACACTGGCCTGATGACAAAGCCACACCTTATGTTAAGTGTGAAGAAAAGCACGCTTTTTATGAAACAAGTGTCCCCATGCTTTCATTTAATGTGCAAAATCTATTTCCCCATGTATTCTCAACGCTGAACTTTGCCTCACACACTCCCCCATCTGGCTCTTTCTAGGATCTAAAGATGGAGAGTCAGATATGCCACCCCTCACACCATGTGTGGGTGTGTCCATCATTAAAATGACCTTTTTCTCATGAAGTCAGAGTGAGGATCTTATTATTGGGTCACCTTAATGGTTCGGTAAAAACACCAGATCAGGCCTTTATTGACAATACCAACAGATTAACTTGTGTGATGTTTTGGCAGTTCGGCCAGCAGGGACTGGTTTGAGAAATAATTACAAAATAATGACAATAGCTTAACATCAGCCTGTTCAGGGTTTTTGTTGACAATATCAACAGAGATTAGCTCATCTAATATTTTGGTCTAACTTGCAGTGGAGGTAAAGTTTTAGCACATATGGGAAGACTGCTGAAAGCTAAATGTTGAGAGAGGGAAATGAGAGATGTGGCAATGAAGACTGCTTTTAAAAAAAACTGTATTACTTGTACTATTTACAAAGCAATAAGTCAGTAATAGCCCTGAGAAATCACTAAAGCTTAATATTCAAGTTGATAAACAACCAACGTACATATTAATACAAAAATATGAGTCTAAATTGTATATTATTGCTGTAAGGGTGGAAAATGTAAGTAAATATATTAATATGTAGTCACTTTTTATTTGAAATAAAGCTATTATCTGCTTTTTAGACTTATATGTGTAATTTCTTATATTACTTTGTCGCGTATTTAGTTTTATATTTTTATTTAGTCTTTATTTAACTAGGAAAATATGACTCTTGAGATTAAAAATATCTTTTGGAAATGTGTGTCTGCCAAGATAAACATCAGCACAATCAACTGTGATCAGTAACCACACATGGAATAGGAAAATGCACAACATAGGTACTGATGTGTATGAGACAAAGCAAAATGGTTCATGTTAAAGCTCAGACCTAAAGCAGGGTCAGTTATGGTCAGCCATCATATTTGCATCCTGAGGTCATTTAAAGTGGCCTTAAATATATTTGGTGTATGGTTTGGATCAAACTCCAAACAATATTTCTACTCTGCAAAAAATTATTTTTATTCCTAGTTATGAGATTATTTTGGAGTTTTAAATAAATGGTTTTTGTTTTTTGCAAACACAGCATTTGTTAAATTTTTTCTCACTTTTACGTTTTGCTTTCAGTTTGTCTCAAAGGGCCAGCCACCTTACTTATTTTGCTATTCTGACTTCATCTGGATGTAGATTAATTTGTCAAACAAAAACTATACATTTGGCCCAAAGTAAAGTCCTGAAATAAATAAATAAACAAAACACATCATAAATTAAGGTATCGCGCGCGCGTGTGTGTGTGAGCATCTGTGTGTTACTCGGTAATAAATGCAGGACCGCCTCACTCTAATCAAGCTGATTAAAAATTCCTGCGCGCACAGCCGGAAATCGCACCACCGTTCCTCCCCGTTGTGTGTGTATTAGTGAGTGTGTGTGAATGCATGTGTGTTTATGTGTGTGTGGTTTCGCTCCCGGTCCACTTTCTCCACTTTGTCTCCGCCAGGACTTTTCCTGCCTGAGATGCGGAGGAATAATCTGTTTTGATTTTAATAGGGAAGGCTGCTGGTGCTGGTGGTGTGTGAGGGGATTATTCCTCTTATTTTCTCTTATTCTCACACACTTTACACCCCATCTCCTGCGCTCTCTCTCCCACACACACACATCCCCATCCTTTCTTCTATTTTTTTACCCTATTTTTTTACCCCCTCTTACCACGCCATTTGAAATGAGGAGGAGAGAAGGAAAGCAGAGGCAGCGGCAGCACCAGCAGCGAGGAGAGGAGAGGGGGGAGTGATGAGTCAATACAACTAATAATTTAATGGGGACAGAGAGGGAGAGACGGAGTGAGAGGGGGAGAGACAGAGAGGGAGATAGAGAGAAAGAGGAGCTCCGTCCGGACGCCAATCCCCAGCCAACAGGACACCTCCTACTATTACTATCAAGGCAGCTCTCTTATGCATCCACAGCGAGCCTTATTCATCCTCGGCATCGGAAAGTAAACCGCACTTTTTGACCCCCCTCTCCTTGTTTTATTTTGCGAACCTGTTTCGACTGTCCGCATATCGTCTCCACATCGCCTCCATGGCAAGCTCACACAGTCGCTTCTTAGTATTTTTGCTCTCTCTCAGTCTGCCGGCAGTCAAATCTAGCTAAGCCGACGCTGAGCTATTTTTTCCCGTAGTCCCTCCGTGAACACACACAGCGAGGGTTTGTTAGGTCTCGGCGGCGGTTGTTGTTGTTACAACTGTGTCCGAGGTGCTTGTGGTTCGTGCTGGCCGTACTGTGCGGCTGCCTGCTCGCCGTTTTGGATGTTGTGCTGCGAACTAAAGCCGAAGTCGCCTTCACTTGTAAGCGTTGCTAAATGTCGCCGGTTTTAACGCTTTCCGTTGCCGTCCTTTTTCCTCCACTTGGACGGAATTGGCTGTAACGTCAGGGCTGCACACTCCTGTCTCTCTCCGCTCCTGCCGCACACGCACAACCGCTTACCAATGTTCGCCTATCACGGTCCATCTCGACCTCGTCCTCCCTTGCACAGACCCGGGTTGTTGTTGTTTTTTCGCACCGCCTGCCAGTCCTCCGCCAAGAAGAGCAGGAGAAAGCATCTTTTTAAACACTGATTTTGGGAACCCCTCGCTGTCATGCACACGTAGAGAGATAACAAGAGAGGAACCGGGAGTTGTTTTTGGGGAGGGGGGGTTTCTTTCTTTTTTCCCTTTTCTTCTTCTATCTTTTCTACCCTGGCCAAACTTGAAGAAGAAGCGTTTTCCAGCCGGTGTTATATGCTCTCCAGTGCTGAAGTGCTGCGGTTCAGGTTGGTTTGAAGTTTTTTTCTTTGCTATTTCTTTTTTTTCTTTCTTTTTTTTAAACTCAACTTCTCCTCTCTTAACTCCCACCCCCCTTTGAGCAGGGGCGTCCAGGATTTTTGTAAATGGGGTGGCCCAGAACAAAGCAAGGGGGGCCTTGTAGAAAGCAGTGTTTGATGAATTGATTGTGACTTGTTTTGTATTAAGAAACTCTTTTACAAAGTGGTTAAACTCTTTATTTAAGTCAAAGTCTACAAGTACAAAAACTTTAGCAGTACTTTTAGGTACTTACAGTTAAAATATTGATGATGCAGAAAAATATACATCATCTCATCATATTTGCTGATTCAATAGTGTACATAGCACTTTATTTTGCATCAAAAGACTAATTTAATCATTTTCTATATTGTTGGGTAGCTTTATTTATAATATTACAATTTTTTTATTGGATTTAAAAAAAATTGAATAATAATAAGTGGTAAAAACTTCAAAGAGATTTTGTGTTTTAAGGTCATATAAAAATCCTGACCTGGATCCAGACTGTATCCGGGTCTGGATTCCTTTGGCTCCCTCTCTGTGGGGAATTAGTTGCTTCATTGGATGTTATGAATCGAGGAGTTCATGATCTTTTGAGTGGGGGTGGATGATTTTGCCCTTTTCACTCTTTGACAACAGCATTCCAGTTCAGTCCACCGGCACCCACTAACCACCACGAATAATTATTTTTCTGTTGTGACCTAATATTATTCATATTACTATTATTATTGATCAGATTTTCAAAGTTTGCCCGAGCACTTCAAATGATGTAGGAAGCTGTGTGTGTGTTTGTGTGTGTAAGCACACCTGTGGGTAAAGCAGCCATCCTCCATCTTTCGTTTTTGTCTCTTCCTCCCTTTTCTTTCCCACTTTAGATGACTACCCTCATGAGTCAGCAACTGCCTGTTTTGGAGTTTCCTCAAGCTGCTTTCTCCCCCCCCACATCCTAAAGTTGTAAACTCATTGCTCGCCACGGGTGTTTCGCTGCACTTGCAGAATCTAAAAATAAAGTTCACACCTGTAAAAGCTTGTAACTGCTTTTGTTTGTCTGTCACAACAAAATGACGGTGCGGCCTTTTGCCTTCTTTCTTTTTTTCTCCAAGCTGCGTCACGAATGGTAAGCCACACAAAGTGACTCACAAACTGAATTACGTTAGTTTCCCCTTCCGTGCGTGCTCCGCAGCACAACCTTGTTCCTTGAACTGTACTGTATTTATTGAAGTGGAATCTCCCAGCAAATTAATGTATTTGCTCTAAAACCTCGGCCTGTTTGCCTCCGCTCGCATGGGAATTTCTAGCGGGACACCCATACATAATACATGCGTTAAAAAATGGGAACATTACAGCAGCAAGATGACATCACCGTGGCCCGAGTCATCATAACCGAGGCGAATTGACAGTTACTGCCGTAATGGGTCCGTTTTCAGAGGTCTCAATTACTTAAAGGACTTTTTTTTGCTCTATAAAAATGTCCCTTCACATCTTCACATGTCAGTGATATCAACACAAAAGATTTTGCGTTCATTGCTCCTTTCGTATCACATGGCAACTCTTCATTCTCCTGCTTCTTTTATGCCACACACATATCTCCCCTGGCAGCTGATTACATGCTGTTTCTGCCTCCCCCAGGTGATAGTGAGCTGAGGTGCTGAGAATGATGGAACATCTCAGCGAGACGTGTTTGGGCAAGGAGAACTCAGAGCTGGTCAACAGCATGGCAGACGCCAAGGCCCCGCCAGCCAAGCTGCCCCGGCTGGAGCAGAACGGCAGCCCCCTGGGACGGGCCAGGCTGGGAAGCACCGGGACCAAACTCGGAGGGGTCCCGTACAAACCCACCAGCCACCTGCTGAAGACCTGCCATAAGAAAGGTAAGAAAGACCGAAACGGATCAAAAGGAATTTATTGAGAATAATTGTAAACATTTATAGTTCCTAATATCTCAGATTGGTGTATTCTTTTTTGTTTTTTGGAGTGTTTATTGGCAAAAATAATCAATTTGAAGACTTCCCTCTGGGTCCTGGGAAATTGTGTGGCGCTTTGTGCGTTAATCACACAGGTGAAAATTAATCGCAAATCAAGTGATCAAGCACATATCCCAAATATGTGCGTCTAAAATTAGAATAGTTTCTGCTTTTATTTCTTTTATATGACAGAAAACTGAATATTTTAGGGGGTTAAGTGTTGGTAGGAAAAACAAATGATCGGAAAATGTTTTCACTGCTTTTTTCTTTTAAGAAAAAAACTTTTTGTTATTTTACAGACAAAATTATTTTAAATTCAAAATAACCATTTACTTTCAGGCCTTATTTTTTGACATCTTTTATAGTTGTCCTTTATACACAACAAGATAATCTTGAAGGTGTTAAATGTTAGCCGCAGTGCCAGCCTGTATCAGCCGCATGCAATACAAATAAAGTATACGCAGCTCTGCGTGTATTTGTAATGACTGAGAGGAAACATAACCAATGTAAAAAGAGGAAAGTAATTTAAATGCAGTTTAAATAGGCCCCCTCCCACACACACACACAGCACCTTCCACCCACCACCACCCCTGCATGCTCTCCAAAACTCTTAAACCTTTTTACAATGCTTCTTTAGTCATCTCAGCACACACACACACACACACACACACACACACACACACACACACACACACACACTCCCACTTATTTGCCCAGACAATAGCTAATAGAAGAGCACTGTGAGAATTATTCCTGTGCCGTGCTGCATAGCGCTGTGTCACTGCTGCTCTCTCCAACCCCGGCACTCCTGCTCTGACATTTGTTTATTAAGGGAAAGTTTCAGTCCTTTAAGAGCCATTGCTGCTTAAAGGGAGCCTTTACTTTGAGATTATGATATAGCTTTTTAATATAACCAGTGTCATCTTGTGAAAAACATGCCAGGCAAAGCCATCCAATATGTGAACCTTCATTTTATGATTATGTTTCTTTCTTTTTTTTTTGAGTTTGAAATCCTGCAGGTTTGGAGTTGTAATAGCACTTGGCTGCGAGGGCTCAAATGTTTGTTTGTTTGGCTGGTTTGGTTTTCTTTGGCCAACAGGGACTAAGGAAGTCTTGGAATGTAGCTGCGCGAGTGTCCTCGGATGGGCCATTTCTCTTATTCGCTGCTTTTTATCTACGTGTTGCACACCAGCTGAGAGAGCCTAATTTCTCACCTTCATCATCTCTGCTTCTCTTGGCCTCCTACAATGTTTGCTCCTCCAAGCATCCTCTTTGCCCTCCCCTCCTCTTCTTTTTCCTCTCATCCTTTTTTTTTTGTCAAATTTTAGAAAAGAGCGAAGCAGCCGAGAGAGGTGGCTGGTCAGCCACGGAGGCTTCGCAGAGGGCCCACAGTGGGCATTGTGTCCGAGCCCGAAACACTATTTACCGCAGCCCTCTCTGGGCTCCCTGGAAACAAAGCCAGTATTGATCCCCCAAATGAACCTGCACAGCAGTCTTTATTGTTAGATCTTTATCTATTAAAATCAGGGGAGGAGAAAAGCAGCTCTTTCAGCACATTCTTTTGCATCTGTTGGCTTATTGATTGTTTTGCCAGAGCTGTGTGCATCTTCTGGAATGCTTGGGATTAGAAAATATGGCAATGTTTATCATTTCTATCTGCACTTACAGCGTATGTAAAGAAACGTTCCCAGGTAGCAGCAGGTAGAGCAGAGACCTACTGAAAAAGTGCGGAAACAGGGCAACATTTACAAAGTACAGTAAGCGAAAGATTACCTCCAATCAGTACTTTGACATAATTTTGACTTTCTGTTTTTATTCAGACTAAAACTTCAAAAGGCCAAGCCGCCCCTGTGCCCTCAAAGTCTAAATTTCACGCCTGTTATTTTAGCCAAAATGGCATATTGGATGATATTTGCACAGTTGGTCCCTTGAACATTTGACAGTCTTTGGACAAGGATTGTTCATTCCACCTAACAGCAGAGCCACTGTTGACACAGACTCGTAAACCTCAGGGCGCAGAGGTGGCTCGGGATTTGTAGCGCTGCATCATGGGAAGATGATTTTGGGTTGGCAGTCAAGGGGAAAAAGGCTAATGTGATCCCAGCACCTTGACAGTGAATAAACTGTGTATTGTGCCAAAAAGAGAGACGAGACTTTCTGTTTTTTGCGGCATGTTTGTTCACACGCGGTTAAGGTTATCATTCTGTCTAATATACAGTATATTTTTGCTTGTCACAAGCAATACCAATCAGTGCAGGCCATAGTGCAACACCTCTGCAATATTATGTCATCATCTTAAAGCTTTAGGCAACATGAAGGAATGCTACAACATTTAAAATGAATCTTAAAATGGGAATTTGGAGCAAAAAGCATCAGGGGGGAGATGATGGAAATGGAAAAAAAAGAAAGAAAAAAGAGGGCAATTTCTTAAAAGACGAAGCAAATTCTATGTCTAAAATTATGCACCCAAGTAATATTTGATCCCTCAAGCTGATCATAGAGTTTGGCAATGGGACAAAGAGGTGAAGGTGTTGAAGGAAATTGCCCTATAAAAGATGATATATGCCTTTGTGGTCCAAACTTGTGTTCAGAGCTTAAACCTGGATGTTCACTTCTAATCCCTCGACAGCCAACCTCAGTGTAACTTAATCATCTGCACTAAATTTTAATCCCATTCCTCTGCAAACAGAGGACTGAAGGTCAGAGTTTTGCATGTGAAGAAATGGCTTGTGTCTCTTTGTCTGCAGGCAACATGCTGCCTGTGTTCTGTGTGGTCGAGCACTACGAGAATCCCATGGATTTTGACAGCAAGGAGGAGCACGCTGAATTTGTCCTGGTGCGCAAGGACATGCTCTTCAACCAGCTCATCGAGATGGCCCTGCTGTCACTGGGCTACTCCCACAGCTCAGCAGCCCAGGCCAAAGGTAATCCCCTCACCCACTCTCATCATTGTCATCTCTTTCTTCTCTGATCTGACGCTCTTCTTTTATGCTTATCAGCGTCTTTTCTACAGCATTTTCAGACATGCTGGTGCTTGTGCACACACACACTCACTCAAACCTACACACACACATACACTCTGTGACCATAATAGCCTACCGCCAGCAGATCTGAAGCCACAGTAACACAACCTGACACTGATCCCAGAAAGTCTCCCAGGGGTCATACGCTACATATTCCCACACAGAGATATCCTCGCACTCTCACAGAGGCTAGCTGCACAGTAAAATGTTTACATGCACATTCACTTGAGTGCTCATATTGTATATATTTATATACATATACCCTCGGTGACAGTGGGTGGGAGGGGCAGGTGGAGGAAAGGGTCTGCTAATTGCACTTGAGCACACGTAGGCTGAGTGCGGCTGTTTCAAGGTGCCTCGATGCATGCTCTTTTATTATAGGCTGTCCATCACGCTGCACATACATACACATCCTAGGCCACCTTTCTCATGAGCAGTCTTCCATCTCTCTTTCTGCTGTGCGGGCTGCCACTGTTTTAAAAGCACTCTCAGGAAAAATTCCTGCGTGGTTGTTGCGATTTCAGTGAAAATTAAGGAAATAAAGAGCATTTATGGCACCGGAATGCTCCTGGGGGTATCTATGCGTGGCTTCGTTCCTACCGTACATGTTTACGGCTTTGAAATGAACAGTGAAAGCGAGCTTCGTGCTGATTTATTTGCTTCTGTGTCCATTGTTGTGCTTTTGTTTCCAAATCTGTGATTTTTTTTCATGCGTTTCCACATTTTGTCCATATTTATGTGTGCCTGCATGTGTTTTGCATCATCCAGGTATGATTCAGGTGGGGAAGTGGAACCCCGTCCCACTGTCATATGTGACAGACGCACCAGACGCCACAGTGGCAGACATGCTGCAGGACGTCTACCACGTGGTCACACTTAAGATCCAGCTGCACAGGTAAGCAACCAATCCACAAGTTTGGGCACATGTGCACTGGAATATTTACAGTTGCACCAGCCCAGAATGTGTGCACATGTTCATACATATTCTTACCTGAGTGCTAACCACAAAACTGTGTTTGAAGAGAACAGTTAGTCATGATCACATTAGCATTTTCCCCCCTCTGATCTGTTGCGCTGTTTATCCATCTAGATAATTTCGATGTGAGTTTCAGCGTTTTGAAGATATATTGGTTGTAGAAATGTCTGCCTTCTCATTGGTATAATGGAAATAAATGACACATATCTTGTGGTGCAAAAATGCCAAGACAATACATAATTAAACAAAACTCAGCAGCAATATGTATTTCCGGAAATCATAACCTGGTTGCTCAAAACAGTCCACCAACCTAGCTGTGAGTAGTTTCGTGTAGGAACTATTTTCTTTTTGCTGTCTACATCCGCCACGCAAAAGATTGGTGCAGCTAGCAAACAGTACAACTCAGGCAAAGGAGATACCGTCAGTGTTTATCACACTGTTTATTACATGTGCTGGTGGTGTTTTTGTCACTAGCATAAGCCTCTTGTGTCCCTTTTAGACAGTGACACAGTGAACGGCTGAAGTTAAAAGTGTTTGGGGGGGTTTTCTGGAAAGAGAGATGGTCAACTTTTGAAATGTGTCACAAGTCCTTCAAGTAAGCAACTTGGCAGCCATCTTGAAACACATGCGGGCACTCACTTGGGTGGTTATTTTGAAGCATTTTTATAAATAAGCGTGATTTTCAAGACTTGTTTAAAATCAGCAGTTTCTTTCAATTACTTTTTTCTTGACTTTGTCCTAAATTAAGGCTTTTAAAAAGCTTTGTTTTCACCTTAAAAGCTCTGCTACTACTAGCTTCTTTGCTGTTGTGTGAATTGTCCATGATTCAAACGGGACATCAGCTGACATCTCCCAAACTGGACAGTTCACACCAAAATCTGTTAGATAAATACCACAGCAGGCCAAATTAAAAATACATAAATTAGACCTTTTTTTAATGAACTCTCTCTTGAAAGTGTGTAATCTCAATCTCAACCTCTCAATCTCTGCTTCTAGCAATAACACATATAGCATGTGCCAGTTTACGTGTTTAATACCGAGAAAAACATTATTACTCAGACTGGCCGTTTCCAGGAAGTGGGAAAAACCCATTCATAAACCAAAAAAAACCACTGATTAATTGATCAGAACACAGATTCCGGAGAATTCGAACTCTTGGTAACAATCTAGCTTATCCATAGCTGAGAAGTGATTCTATGAAATTAACCGCTGAGTGATTTTTAACATGTTGCAGTGGAAACGTGAAATATGATAAGTAAATAACCGTTTTTAAACCAAGCTCTGCTTCAGCTCCAAAAAAACCAAATAAACGAATGTGGTCGGTGACTGCGTGGCTAAAAATGACTCACCTGAAATAGTTCCATAAATAAACCTGGCTGCAGCGGATATTTTAGGCAAAATATATTTCTTTTGAGTCTACATTGTGAATGATGAAGATGAAACCTTTACTATACTGAATACTGCTAGCTTTCTCCTGTCATTGCTCACCATATTGTATGCTAAATTATTCTCTGTAGGTGTGAGGCTTTGTCATATTTATACACACGGCAAGAGCATACAAGCATTTATAGACATGGACACAAACAGGCTCATATGCACTCATGGACACACACACACATGCGCGCGCACACAAACAGCCGACTGGCTCTGGTGTGGAGGCTTGTGCCAGCTGCACGCTAACCCAGTGTTCTGCAACCCTCTGGAGAGCTGTTTCTACTCTTTTTCTACCTCGCTCTGCCTCTTCCTTTTCTCTTCCCTCTCCTTCTGTTTCCCCCGCCACCAACACCATCACCACCCACCTCCACCAATGAAGCACTCACACACACGCACACACACACACACACAGGCACGGCGACTGATGTGAACACGTCCACCAGCCAGACTACAGAAGGTTGTGTTTATTTCCGGCTTGCTAGCCCCTGAATGCATGGATAGCTGTCTTTCTCCGCTGCCCCCCTCTCTCTCTCTCTCTCTCTGCCTCTCTCTCTCTCCCACTCTCCCTCCTCTTGTTCACTTCCGTCTCCCCAGAGGCTTTCTAGCTGCTGGAGCAGTTTAAGGTGTTCTGGAAAATCCATTGTTTGTGTGTTAGAGTGTGCATGTGTATGTTTTCTTAGTAGCAGATGTGGTGTGCATCCCTTTTCTGTTCTCCTCGCTCATAACATTTCCAACACACCGGCTGACAGATTTATGGACAGGCACACACACACACAGCATCTCATGCGCCCTCATCGCTCTCTTATTCACGTCTCTAGCCAGGTTTAACGTGAAGTAATTCAGCGGTAAGTGTAATGCGAAACACACACAAAGTCACGGGAGCCCAGTTGAGTTATTCTCTGCTTCCACCCACCACGTAAATATATTTTACGTTTTCAAAACCCAGAATTCAGTCGGTGTCTCTGCAGCTCGCGATTGCAGCACAGGCGAACAGCAAAGACAGTCTGTTTGATATACAGCTTCATTTTGATTACGCCGTATATACGCAATTGTCAATATTGTTATTGGTTTGTATTTGTTTTTCCCCTTTTTCTTACCCACGCCGCCAAACTCTTAAAGCCCCCCCGCCCCGACTGCAGCAGAAATCTCGCCAGTAACACCTTAAATTGTTTCGCCGAGCACAACAAGCCAGGAAGGTAGAAGTAACACGAAATAATAGTCGCCACATGCAGCTGATGTATAATTCATGCATCAATCCAGCAGATGTGTTGTATAAAGTAATTAACTAATCAGAACAATCAGGAGAGAGAGAAAAAGAGAGAGAGAGAGAGAATATGAAAGAGGGAGAGAGATCGAGGCAGGCAGATACAGAGAGAGAGAGAGAGAGAGAGAGACAGAGCAATCTCCAGATGCATCTGCTTGATGCGCCAAATGAAATCTGTCTGTCTTGGAGGGGCGCTTGCAGCAGGAAAAACGAGCAGGGACCCGTGTGCGTTCAGCTCGCTTTCTCTCTGGTTTCCTCTCTGTCTTTGCTGCTCTGCCTATTTGATGCAAACCAGCCAATTTATCCACGTATGCATGTATATGTTCCTCAACCAGGGTCAGGCGAAATGCTGCAAACTGTGTTTGACACCTTTGTTTTTGGGGAAAGTGATTTGCTTCCAGAATTTTCAGCTCAGCACTTGATTAGTGGGGAAATGATCAGTCGAGTTGACTGACAGAAAATTAATCAGGAGTAATGATGATAATCGAAAAAGGTTCAAGCGTCTCGTGGCTGAGGATTTGGTGCGTTTCTCTTGTTTTTAGAAAATAGAACATAACAATTTTAACATGCGATTTCAAGACATTTTGTTATGTTTTCTGACATGTGTAGGCTAAATCGAATAGCAAAAGTATTGAAATTATGCTACAATAAAATATCCACTCGCTGCAGGTGATAATGTCCACAGGTTTTACAAATATTAGGCAGTTTTAGGAGTAGACTGAAGAAAACACCTATCTCGACTCCTAAATTTTTCTTATGCTTTTATGTTGTACACGCTGGATACTGTGCACTTATCATTTTCAGTGGGGTAGAATTGTATACTCACTAGATATGTCATTTACAACATTTCACTACAATTGTCTGCGTTTTGTATTAGTACACAATAGTAATTTCTTCTAATGAAAATTTCACACAAAACAATGCCAACACGTTCAGTGTGTGGTTTTATTTTTCAGAGTAGGAAAAAAGCTTCTACTCTTAGCTAGCCAGTATTAACATCACGACACCTGCTGACCCTTTCCAAAAGCTGCAGATTGTTTGGTTTTCCCTCCGTCTGGCAACCTCTAAGAGTAAGATGTGGACAGTGTTTCACACCCAGCTTTTTGACTGTTACACTTGAAATATCAAATGTAAATGTGAAAATATGTGATTTAAGATGCAGCGAGATTTTTAAGGTCTATGATGTTGGATTGAAGTTGCACAAAAATACCTCTATAGTTCAATGTGTAATACACATGTGTAATGTCTATACTCAGTTGCAAGATTGTGAATTTTAGCATTTCATTGAAGATCCCATCAAAGCTGCTGCCTTCCTGTCTCAGTCTCCGTTCCATCTGAATTTGTTTTCATGCTCTACTCTTTCCCCCCTTCTCCTTTCTATCCCTGTCTGTCCTTTCCTCACACTCATCCCTTTCTTCTTCTCCCCATCCTTATCCTCCCTGTCACCCTCCACCCCAAATCCCTGTGTGTCTCCTCTCTCTTCACAGTTGTCCTAAGCTGGAGGACCTGCCGCCCGAGCAATGGAGCCACTCTACAGTAAGAAACGCCCTCAAGGAGTTACTCAAAGACATGAATCAGAGCTCTCTGGCTAAAGAATGTCCTTTATCACAGGTGCTGAAGACCAAACTGCTTATTCCAAAAAAAAAGACAAAAAACAAAACAAAAAGCCCAACCCTACACCCTTCTATCATACCGCACAACTAAACAAACACCACTGTGTCCATCACCTCCGTGTTTTATCTTTAACTTATCAAATGCCGTGAGTTTGATCACATGGGAAAGAGAATCAGCATAGAAAATCCAAATCAATGGCTATTGTTATTTGTTTGCCTCTTGATTTTTTTTTTGTTTGTTTCTTTTACCACCCACGACACACACACACACACACACAGGCTCGTATGTACCAGCAGCCAAAAAGCAGAGGTGTTGTTGAACGTATGGTTATTGTGAGATAAACACTGGCCCGGGCCCAGAACGATCTGGATGCTTTTTGTTCTTTTCTCATTTGATTCACTCTGAACATTTCAGGCTGGAGGTATGTTTAGGTTTTATATTCTGTGTCTTTCTTTTCCTCTTTTTTTTTTTTTTTTTTTGTCGGCTGGGAGGTTGGATAGAAAGCACTAGTGCAGATATTGTATTAACAGGCGGTGTAGTCAGTATATCACAGAGGCAGCTCTGGAGTGAATGGAATGAAATGGCAGTATATCTCTCACAGGGGCCAATAATGTGCGTGTGTGAGGGAGTTACAGCACAAGGAGATATGTGTGCACCTGTGTGTATTTGCTTGTATATCAATGTGCAGAGCGCATATGCGAAATTGCTATTTGCGTTTTGCATGCGTGTGTGTATTCACATCGGAGCGTGTGCGTAGGTGCCTTCAGTACGAAGCCAGCTCTCCTCCTAGGCCACCGTATGGTCACCTGGAGACCCTCATTTGCGTTGTGTGCGAACGCGTGCGAGTGAGCTGCTGCTCTCGGTGTGTGTTCGTGCGTGTGTGTGTGTCTGTTTAGCCGGGCATGAGCAGTGCGCTGATGATGTAAAGAGTCCCTGGGTGGCGTTCAGGCGGAGCCCAGCCCGGTCTGGTAATCACCCTGTTTACGGTCCATATGTGAAGACGGCTCAGAAGAGAGCACACGCTAGCTCAGAGGATTTACCACACAAGCACACACACTCCTGCTCAGACACATTTTTGCTATATTGACATACACACCAGTCTCAAATTAAACTGAAGATTGTTTTTGGTTTGCAGAGAGGACGAGCTGCAGACCTGAAATTATCTGATCTTTTTTTCTTTGTGAATATCTTATGTATTTTACAAGCCAGTCTGGATTTCAGCGGCAACATTTAAATGGCAGCGTCCTTTGTAGATTTATGGCAGCTACAGTCAAAATGTAAGGCAGCGAGCTTAAAAAGAATAATCCAGTTTTTAAGTTTTCGTGTAACTTGGCAGCTTTGCCGTGTTGCTGCTTGATAATCTGATGATCTCCTCGCATGTATCTCTATCTGCCTCACTGAAACATGGCTGCCACGATGGTGTTTGACATCTGTTACTCTGTGGGGTTGCATGTGGCCAGTTACACCCATGGAGCGGCAGTTTGCTCCTCCTAAACCCGATTGGTTTACGACCATGGTCATCCGCACGTTGCTTCGATACACGGACTCCCTGCCTTGCGAGCGGTGATGTCACCGCCTGTGTGCAGTCTCATGAGAAGGTGAGAAGCCAGGAAGCATTTGGCCCACCCGCTGAGATTTCTGAGTTGACAGAAAAAAAAAGGAGAGAGAAATGAGTGGGAGGAGAAAGGGGCGTTGCAGGAGGGAGCAGAAGATTGGCACCTTTTTAGGATTAGTGTTTCCTTGATATTCTTCTGCGTAATCCCAGACCGAAAAGAGAGGTTAACAGATGAGAGAATCGCAGCGAGTGAGTGAAAGAGAATTAGCCCACCTCTGAACAGGGCTCTAAAGAGAGACAGGGGTGGGGGGTAGAGGAGGAGGGGGAGCAGAGCAGCGAGGGGAGGGCGGTGGGGCGTTATTTTGTGAAATGCTTCTTTTGTCCGGGGCCTTGTCAAACATTTAGTTTCATTCTTTTGTAGCGGAGAGTCATGCTTTGTGTGTTCGGCCTACAAATGGCTCGAGGAAACTCAAGAGAATGCAGTGTTCACTAATGCCCGTTGTCATTCTGCTACAGGAACTGTTTCTGACCCGTGCAAAATACGAAGCACGCTTCAGGATTCACAGTTCATAGCTGGGAGAGGCATCTGCAAAATACAACTTCTCCCTCAATCAGGCTGATTTTGTTTTCTGAGGTTGCTACCAAGCTTAGCATCCCCCTTGCCCATATTCTCAGAAACTATGGCAACAAATGAGATTTCCCCCCCACGCCCCCCACCATCGCCACCACCTCACCCCACTCTTTCCCATTGCCACCACTACCTCTTCTTGCCCACCCCCTGTTCACTCTCGCTGGGCGGCCCCTGATGCACCAGCTGCTGCGTTGTGTAGCAGCAAATAGTCATCAAAATGCCATCTTTTGCAGGCCTTCACCACCTCGGCTGCCACAGGCATAACCTGGCTGCCAGTGCGTGTGTGTGTGTTAGAATGAAGGAAGGGGAGGGGTCATCCCAGTTGAGGTGGATATGTGCCATAATTGAGCTCTGTTAGATGTTGGCGAGAGACGAGGCGCAGTGTTGCAAATGGGATGCGCTTTTTTCCCCAGCTGATTCAAGACATCAGGCTAAGTTGGAATGCGTGTTGGTGTTTAATTGTGTATGTGCTTGTGTGAGTTTGTGTAACAGCACCATGTGTGTTTGTCTGCAGGGGTTGTACTCTGTATGTGTGTGTGTGTGTGTTTGCCAGTGTGTATATACCACACTCTAACACTAGCAGCTGGGTGCCTACAGTACCTGCCTGCTGCACTGCTATTTTCTTACACACACACACACACACACACACTCTTTCCTCGCTCTTCCTGTCTCCCATGTTGGGGAGTGGAATAGATGTTGGGGACCGATAGTAGCCCAGTGCCACTTCCTGGTCTTGCTGATAAGCTCTCTGTGCTGCAGATGGCTATCACTTAAAGGGTCCACACACATGCTCATGCACAGAGACACACCCGCAAACTCTCACACACACACAAACGCAGTCATGCTACCTGTTGACAAGCCCTAGCACAGCCCTCCCGCTGGCACCGCAGTGGCAGCAGAGGCTCTGGTTATCTGCTTGATTTCACTTAGTGCGTATGCATGTGTGTGTGACAGAGCGGTGGGGAGAGGGAGAGAATAGGTGTGTGTGTGTTGTTTCGTTCTCACATACACGCAGGGCCCCCTGTGAGAGGTAGAGTGATGTATTGAGGGAGAGGGCTGATTAATGAGGAGCGTTTATTAGAACATCTGTGTCAAAGATGGCGGAGAAAGAGGGAGCGAGAGAGATAGGGGAGAAAGACGGGAAGTGAGGGAGAAAAAAGCACACCGTCTTTTGCAGGCCTCCTGTTTGTTGCCTGGAGCCGCCTAAGCCCAGATATACTGTAAATAAAAGATGCCAGGCTGGAGGAGAGGAGTTCATTATCCCCCTGACTTAAAGGCGAATTCTTCTTACGTTAAATACGTGGTTTGCAGACGGATCTTTGGGTGGGGACGTGGAGTTGGAGAGAGACTGTCAATGTAGGACCAGAGAATTTTTGAACTTGCAGCTACTATTTCCTAATACCAGTATTGTATAAAAATGAGTCAGTTCATGCATAAAAGTGTGACCCATTAAACCGAACCTGAACTCCGTCAGCGCTTCCGTTGAATGAAGGCTTTTCAATATATTGATAAAAGACTGCTTTGTTGTAGCGTACAAGTCCAAATGCAGACCTTTTCACCCTCCTGTTTTTCATCATGCCGGGATGATGCACCGCAGCATGGTTGGCACAAGTTCTCACCCAGCTGCACGAATGTGACTCGCCTCAGCTGCCTGAATTTGCCTTTAAAGAAAAAGAAAGAAAGAAATATTAATAATAATAAGCAGCTGAATGTTGAACTTGACTCCACCTGGTACAAGCAGGTATAGTAGTAATTGTGTGTGTGATAGTTGGTGTCTTTTGTCATTTCCATGACACAAACTTCGATGTCTTCCTAAACATGTAATTGCTTCTTTTCCAACCTTGGCTGGGTTTTAATATTACTGAACCAAGACTTGGCTAGCACAGAGCTCTAGCTTTTATAACGTCTCCTGTGTGGTATTCTCTGTCTCAAACAGAGAAATGGAAAATATTCCTCATGTAAATCTTTTAGGAGGAAGCTGGTTAAAATTGTTCCTTACCTGCTGCTTTTTTTTTTAACAAAAGGAACCTGTGTCTGTCTTGTTTCTTTTGGGTGGCTCGTTCCTGCCATGTCTAAAGTTTTCGGTGCGTCACACTTAGCTGCAGCGCTGCTGTATAAGGTGCGGCGTACGGCTTTAATCCGGAGGTCAGGAGTTCAGAGTTTGATCGACCTTTTTGATGGCACAGCTGTCACCCTTTAACCTCCTTTTGTGGTGAAAAGCTGGAGCCAGAGAACCAGAATCATCCTGTGGCTGTTCATTTCTGCTCACACTGCCATGCTACTCTGCCAGAAGGTTCCCCCCACCATCCTCCAAGCGCATATATTATAGAAAATGATAAAGATGGCATACCTATAATTTGAAAACAGATGGTTTGGTTCTTTTGAATATTTATAACAATCAAAAACAATTTCTCCTGTGCCAACCTCGCTATTCACCCGGAGGCCGGCAAGGTGTTAAAACATTCATTTTAATGAAACTGGATGGGAAAGAGGAAAAAAACAGCTCTTTGTTTTTCCCAGGCGAAGGAGAGCGGTTGAAGTAAATGTTGAGAGGGCAAAGAGGCGACTGTATAGGGGGGAGATGGGAGCACGTACGCATCGGAGAACGACATGCTCGGTGCGGCCCCCAATCTGCTCGAAGTCGTTGTCTTTAACAGATTGTATAAATAAAGAGCCGCAAAATAAAAGAGGTTTATCTGTTTACATCGCCGAGCTCCCCAGGTGCTGATATTCAATAAGCAGCTATCTTCTTTTCCTTTCAAAGGTAAATATCTTTCCCACTGCATGCTCATGGAGTGAGCAGATGTAGAGCTCAGGTGACCTTATAAGTGACCCAAAAAGTTCAGACAAACTCATCGGCATTTGATAAAAAAAATAAAAGTAATTGATTAATTAATAAGAGATAAATCCCCTTCTTTGGTTTAATTTGTTTTACCTGTAGAAGAAAACAATCTCAGATTTCTGCATGTCTGATACTTTTCAGTTAGCTTTTTTCCCCTGGTGCTGGGTTTTACTCGATCCCTATATTTTATTTGTTTTGACAAGCTACAGTGTTACTGCATGTTTCACAAGCTTTACTATTATGTCTGCATTTTCCACAATGAGAATCTAAAGTCTCTCTCTCGTTTTCTCTCCCTCTCCCTCAATCAATCTCTCTCTTTCAGAGTATGATTTCCTCCATTGTGAACAGCACTTACTATGCAAATGTGTCGGCGGCGAAGTGTCAGGAATTTGGGCGCTGGTATAAACATTTCAAGAAGACAAAAGATATGATGGGTAAGCAAAACGGAGGGGCGCAAAGTATGGCGCTCACACTTTTGTCTCTTTGCACACACATTCTCTCACACACACACACACCAGTCACCATTGCAATATGTTCCCTAACCAACCGTCTCTTTGTCTTCCTGCTGTTGCATGAAGCAGAAATACATTTTTATTTTGTTGTCTAATAATTTAAGCTCACTGCAGGCAGTGTTACAGTTACACACAGTGTTAACTTTGCTTTATCCATTATTGCTTTAACTAACACTAATGCAAGAGCCAAAGTGACCCAAGATGTTTTGTTTTTTGTTTGTGTGTGTGTGAGTGAACAAAAGGCAAGTATGACTTCAGCCGGCCTAGTCTAAAATTCAATTAGATTTTCTTATCAAACTTCTACCAACACGTGCTTTATATAATCTCAGAAAAATCCCCTTTGACCTGCCAGGAAATGAGGTTATATAATAGCAGTAGCACCCAAGCTGCAGATAGCACGCCGATATATTTTTATGTCTTTTGATTCAGCAGAACAGCGCTCTGTTGTGAGCTGGTTTAATGCTGAGATATTAGCTTTACCAATCTGTTGAACATTATCTTTTTTCTTTACCAGTGTGCTGCTGCTGCTGCTCGCAGTGATGATAGACACAGATATTATATCAAAATGTTTTCACAGCCTTCCATGCAAATCGTGTGTTGTGATCATATCTTATCTGATGTTTTTTCTTTTCCCTCCATCAGTTAAAGTAGCAACATACACTGGGAACTTTATTTACTCGAGACCTGCTGTACTTTAGTACTCTCTTGCATACACCTACACATTTTCTGTCACAGTTGTTTTCTTTTTGGTTTTATGTTCCTTAAAAGTAGAAGCGCTGCAGCTGCAAGTCCGGCCTCAGTTTTAAATGCTGATGTTTTAAATGTCATATTTCTGCTTAGCTGGAGTGGGAGAGACAAATTGTAGAAAGCCTTAACCCTGTCTTTCTTTCCTCACAACTCTGCAATGTGTGTGTGTGTGTGTGTGTGTGTGTGTGTGTGTGTGTGTGTGTGTGTGCCTGGCCACTGAGCACTCTCCCTGTTCCCAC